ACAAATATTAGAAACATGAGCCTCTGGGACCATTTCAGCCTCAAACTGTTTTCCATTCCACCTCCTCTTCCTATAGCCCTGTCTTCATGCAGTTGTCTCCAAACAAGGTTGGGCTGTCTGGTTGGTCCTGGCCTCTGTGAGCCTGGTGAGACTTCATTAGATCTATGAATCCTCTGACACAATAGAGTCACTGTGATGACTCAGTAAAACCTACCTATCTCCGCATGGCACGTCCCTAAATGAATCGCCAGCCTTTGGAGAGCTCCCATCCCATTTCCATGAAGTCCAGACCCTGCTCTTTAAAATCTCCAAAGATCTGGAGCCGGGTTAATTATAAATGACCATGACAGCCAGTTTCTCTACCGCAGCAGCTTCTAGAGTCTAGGGATGACTTTCCTCTCTTGACAGCCATGCACACCCCACCGGGTACCACCTGCCAGTCATCATTCCCTCCAGAAAACCACTAACACAGATGGCTCTGAGTGGTTAGGGGTTGCAGAGGAAGCAGCAAAACCAACTGCAACCCCAAAGTCAAGTGTGTTCTGATACCTGCTATATCGGCTGTTTCCTAGAGCAGAGAAATCCAGCCGTATGCTCCCTTAGGCATCCTTCATCTGCCCCTCCCTCTGGCCTCTTTTTCTATCTCCCTCTTGCACCCTGGCTGCCTCCAGACATTTGAAGTCTGGGGTGTGGGGAGGGAGGTTGCCCAGAGCCATCTGTTTCCCTCTAAGTATCTTTTCTTTTTCCCTCCAGGCCCGAACTTCCTCCATCAAGGGCCCTGCTCCCCCTGTATCCCCAGGGCAGATGCTGGCAGCCTTCTCATTGCTAGCATATTGCCAGGTGCAGGAAATACACAGGAGCTACTTCAAACAGTCAAGGCCCCTGTGTGCATAGGCCGTTTGTCTGAACCTGTCTCTGACAAGCCAGTACCTCTGCAGAAGCCAGCCTGTGCGATGTTTGAGCTAAATGTCAAGATGACAACTACCGTGCCATAACTCTTCATGAGAACAGATTGCAAATCCCCATGAGTGTCTTCATTTTGAGTTAATGCACATCCCCAAAGCACCACCCACGACCCTCCTCCATGGCTTCTCCATTCTCTGAACCAGTTTTCCTTTATCCAGTCACTTAGCGAGGAACAAAATAAGACACCCCCACTAGTCAACATTTCAGTTTGCTACATTGGCAGTAAGCGCGTGGGTCTCCAGGCTTAGTTCCTAGGGGCACATGACTTCTCCCAAAAGCTGCCCACTCTACTTATCTGCCCAAGTCCACCTGTCCGTCTCCTGAGTACCATGACAAGGAGATGCATAATGTTTTCAACAATGCCACTGCCTGCTTCCCGCCTGCAGTGAGGTCTGAAGGCCAGCGTCTGAGAGGCTCTGTGTCCTGAACCTCTAATTCGCAGGCCTAATCATATCAGTGTCCTGCTTGAAACCCCTGGAAGGTTCCACTGTGTGTACAGCGTGGAAACTCAACCCGGGCAATGATGCCCAGGGCACCCTAAGACAGCCTTCCATAGGCATCATTCCAAGCAGCCCAAGGGACTCAAGCCAAGGCCCAAAGAGGAACACAAAGGAAGGATATCAGATATTCTGACACAAAATACTCTGCAAAGCCTTCTTCAAAACACATACATGTATGCCAGAGAAGGTGGCACACAACTCTAATCCCAGCACTCAGGAGGCAGAGGCAGGTGGATCTCTGAGAGTTCAAGGCCAGCCTGGTCTACATAGTGATTTCCAGACTAGCCACAGCTATGTTGAAAGACCCTGTCTCAGACAAACAAAAAGAGAGAAAGAGAAAGACAGAAAGAAGCCATGGCTCTCCAGGAGCCAAAGTCCTTGGTTGATGTCCACCCGCTGTGCAGCCCTGACCACCAGCCCCTGAGCCTGCCTGGCCAGAGGTGGGACCTCACTGACATCTGCAGACATCCTGGCAAGCACATGGCCACCATGCTTTGCATCGAGATCCAGCTGTGAGTGCTCTCAGGGGTTGAAGCCGGCAATGGCCCCAAGCCAGGAAGAGGCACAATGTCAGCAAAGGAGCGCACTCAGAAGTTTCTAAGTGGGACGAGCACCGAACAATGCAGAATTCAGAGCCAAGGGCAGCCCAGCTGCGGGAGGCAGGAAACAGCGTCAACGGTCCAAACACCTGCAGATAGAGGCCTACAAAGTCTTCAGTGAGGGTACAAGGCCATTGCCCCACAGAGCTCAAGACGGCCAGGTGCAGGCGTTGTCCGAGAAAACCTCAGAGTTCCGGATGTGGTAGGATGCTTGCCCTGACATATACAAGGCCCTAGATTCAATCCCTGGCATAGGAAAGAAAGTAATGGTGTATAGCAGTATAAGGAAACTTCCCCCATACACAGTTAGAAAATAGATTTAGGCTACCTGAAGGGCTCAGTGGGCAAAGGTGCTTGCTGAACCCTGACAACCGGAGTAGTCCCTGGGGCCACACACACATGATAGAAGGAAAGAACCAGCTCCCACAAGAGGTCCTCTGGGCTCCATCTGCATGCACACCCCACAAAATAAGTAAATGTAAAACAGGGGAAGAATTGAGAGAAGAAATAAAGTGTATTGAAGGATTCAACTCTAGTCCGACCTGAGCCAGCAGCATTTACCATCTTTTTTTTTTTTCAATGCTGGGGATCAAATCTAGGGCCTTGTGCATTCCAGGCAAGCATTCTACCACTGAGCTTCATTTCCAGCCCAATGAAAGCCTTTTAAATATCAGCGTAGGCACACTGAGCCTGCAGTGTGAGATGGCAAACATGGTTCTAGGTCCCTGTGGGCTTCACCATAAGACTCTGACTAAGAACCAGGTGGTGGTCCATGCCTTTAATCCCAGCACTCCGGAGGCAGAGGCAGGTGGATATCTGAGTTTGAGGCCAGCCTGCTCTACAGAGCGAGTTCCAGAACAGCCAGGGCTACACAGGGAAACTCTGTCTCAAAAAACAAACAAACAAAACCTGACTGAGCGCTAACACTAGTTGAGGGGTCCAGGAAAGAGGCCAACCTGAACCACAGAGATACCACCAGACAATAATCTCCAAACATCCCCGGCTTGCTGGTACAGTGTGTGTGTGATGAACCTTCACCTGGAAGTGGCAGAAATAACCAATAATGTCAGAAGTGCTTCCGGCCACGGCAGGAGCCAAGCTAGGCACCAAAACGGGCTGAGCCAGCCTGCCGGGTCTCGCAGCATGCACAGAACACCCAAAGGAGAGGCAGGAAAGGGGGCTGTATCATTACTTTCCTTGTTGGTGTGTAAAATATACAGCTTAAGGGAGGTTTCTTTTCCCTCACAGCTTGGGGGGACTAGTCCATCAGGATGGAGGGGCGCATGGCAGTGGGACTGTGTGGCTACTGGTTTTCCTGCTGCCACAATCAGGAAGTGACCCAGCCCCAGTTGATAGGACACATCTACAACACAATTCCTCCTGCATCTAAGGCTCAGGGAGCGTTATAGAAGAGGACCCTGAAAGACTGTGAATGCTGGAGGAACAGAAACTGTGCCCCTTAGAACTGTCAGAGAGAACCGGGCGCAGTGGCGCACGCCTGTAGTCCCAGCACCCTGGGAGGCAGAGGCGGGCGGATCTCTGTGAGTTCGAGGCCAGCTTGGTCTACAAAGTGAGTCCAGGACACAGTCAAGGCTAAACACAGAGAAACCCTGTCTCAAAAAAACCAAAAGGAAAAAAAAAAAAAAAAAAAAAAGGCAGAGAGGCTGCGTCTATGAAGTCTTAGTCAACACGGCTGCCTAAACAAGTCTTGAACAAGGATGGCATCAGCACGTCTGCCAACATGGAAGAGGGAAGCTTGTGAGGTCTTCAACCATAGACAAAGAACTATGGGCAACCAGGGAATTCTGAAAGAGGGAGAAATGGTCTTTTCCAGAGGAGGACCTCCCCCCCCAATTGCTATCCAATGCCAAGTTATCAACCCTGAGATTATATATGCATATATATATATATTAATTATGCAGACTGAGTAGGCTGTGTTTCTACATTTAGGAGGGGGAGGGATTAAAGAGGAGGAGAGCTGGGCGTGGTGGCACATGCCTTCAGTCCCAGCGCTCAGGAGACAGAAGCAGGTGGATCTCTGTGAATCTGAGGCCAGCCTGGTCTACAGAGTGAGTTCCAGGACAGCCAGGGCTATTACACAAAAAAAAAAAAAAAAAAAAAACCCTGTCTTGGAAAGAAAAGAAAGAAGAGGAGGCCACGAACTCGAGAGACAGAAAGGGGAGGTGCATGAGAGCGGTTAGTGAGAGGAAAAGGGAGAGGAGAGTATGCAATTATAATTTCAAAAAAAAAAAATAGGAAAAACATATTATTTTAAAAAAAAGGAAAGCTGATGGCCAGCTTGTGTTCTGTGTTTTAATGCAGTCTGGGACTCAGGACAACGAATAGTGCCGCTACAGTTAGGGTGGCTCTTCCCCGCCTCAATAGCTCAGTCTGAAGCACTCACAGACATATCCAGAGGCTTGTCCTGGAGATGATTCTAGATCCTGTTAAGTTGGCAGTATTAACTATCACAGATGCCCACGTTCAGAAAGACTAGGCGAGTGGATGCCAGAACTCATAGGGCAGAGCTGAGGATGAACGCCAGGGCCAGAGGCAGCTGCAGCTGCTACCAAGATTCTGCCCAGGGAGGCCATCGCTGGCTGATGATGCTCTCCAGTTTGCTTAGGATCCCAAGAGGCAGACAGTGGGTTGGCATCATCTCCTGAGCAAGCAGAGTGGAGGAGGGAGATGCTGAGCAGCCCACTCAGGATGCTGGGATACAGGCTCTGCATCCCTACTCTTTCTGTTTAAAGTACCCCATTCGCCAACCCCGTAGGTGAGTAGAGCCGGCATCTCCAGGAGTGGGGATCCCACCCATCTTAGAATCCCCCCCCAATCTCACAGCCCAGGGCATGACCAGCCCCCAATCAATATCAGAATGAATGCTCATTCAGAAGATGGCACGTTCTATAAAATACCAGGGCCAAGCACTTACCCGCAGGGGCTCGTCAGGGAATCCAGGTTTGCTGGGCCTGTCCTGTCGCCTTGACCTCAGGAGCTGTTTGGCTTGCTTTTCTGTCAGAATCGGGGAGGCTTCTGGAAAAACCAGGAAGAGCCTTGAGAGATTCCTAGGCCTGGGAGTCCACATTCCCATTTCAGGACTCCAGAGAGGATTTGCAAGTTCAAGCTTGGTTAAAACACAAAAGAATCTGCCCCAGAGGATGTGGCATTTCTGAGGCCTCAGTTAACTCAGGGCAAAAGCTTCAGGATTTAATATCTATTTACCTCCTGCAATGGCCGATTTCTTTAAAGTGGGCATTTCTGTAAAGTGTGGGTTTTCTGTTCGTTTGCTTGCTTTTGTCTGTTTTGAGACAAGGTCTTTGGCTGACTGGCCTTGAACCCAGTGTCTAGTTGGGGCGAGCTTGAACTCCGGATCCTACCAAGGGCTACAATTACAGTTGTTTGCCACCGAGCCATTGATGTGGTCCTGGCACAAAACTCAGAACTTCTTCACCCATGCTAGGCAAGCACTCTGGCAATTGAGCTGCACCCCCTCCCCCCCCCGGAATACGACTTTTTAAAGAGCATGTACTTTCCCATTGTCTTGTGTGTGGCAGTAAGACTGTGTTAAACCTAGTCTTCACACATTCCACTCACAAGAAAATTATAAATGGGAAAAGGGGTGATGCAGTGCAAATATTCAAAGATATTAGCATAATAAAGGTAGTTGAAGCTTCCGGCGGTTCCCTAGAAGCTTTAAAAGAAGATGTAACTGAAGGCTTTTCAGAGTTTTTTGAAACTTGTGCTCAAACGCACTAGTTTGAGACTTTTCAACGAAAGCAACTTACCGCCCTTTTAAAGAAAAGTTCTAGAGTTTTAAAGAATAATTTTAGAGGCTTGCTCTTACGAAAAGAAAGAGCATCAAAATATCAATATAGACCGTATCTTATCATGTCAGTGTGAAAATAGGTCGTGTCCTGGGGGGAGAAAACCTACCTGAGGAGAAAGCCAGCAGAGCGAGAGCGAAGACCAGCACAAACATCTTCTTCATGGTGCCAGGCTCCTCTCCTCTGACTGAACTCCCGGGACCAGTCCCACCTACTTGAAAGAGGCCCCCGTCAGACCCAATGCCGTGTCGACTTTTCCCTAATGAGGTTCGCCCCGTGATGCTGAGCAGGTCTGACTCTGGGCTTGCAACAATGTCTGTTAAAATATTTCCCTCCGAATTCCTGCAAATTTTCATCCTGAGACAGGAAATGATCCCTCTGTCATGTGACCTCCGGAGTGTGGTTTTGAGAATATTCATTTCATGCAAACAGGTCTGTCTGTCCTAGTCGGTAATTGTTTCAGAGTGTTTCTCCAAAGCTTTTGCTTGCTTTATTTTTGTTTGTTCGTTTCACTGAGTAGCGCATCTCTTTTGTGACATGTAGTTATTTGTGTGTACAGGGCTACTCACATGCCTTCCTGCGGGAACAGAAGCCAGGGGCCAGTTTGTGGGAGTCAATTCTCTCCTTCTACAGTGTAGGTCCTGGGATTGAACTCAGGTTGTCAGGCTGAGCAGCAAGCACCTTTACCAACTGAGCCACCTCATCTGCCCTAATTGTCTCTTATGTTTCCATATTTCATGACATTTTTACCAAAATCCATTCATCAGTCTGCGTTCAAACACACACACACACACACACACACACACACACACACACACGCTGATAATTTCAGAGGTAGGTAAGGCACCAAGCAAGGAGCATGATGAAGGAAATAAAAATATTTTCCCCTGACTCTGGAGCCGGAGAGACCAGCCTGGAATCTGATGTTGCTCCTCAAGGCTGGAGCAATGTCTCAGCAACTAAGAGCACCTGCCGCTTTTGAGGAGCACCCAGATTCCGCTTCTGGTCCCCACAGTCATACCTCCAGTTCCAGGTGATCCGATGCCCTCTTCTGACCTCCCCAGGCACCAAGCTTGCACATGGCACACATGTGCGCATACAAGCAAAACACTCATCTATAAAATAAAATAACTTTAATAAAAAAAAAAAGATTTAAGAAAAAAAAAGCCATGAATTGGAAAGAGTGCAAGGCAGGAGGATACACAAGAGGATTTAGAGGGGAAAGGGGGAAATTATATAATTACATTATAATCTCAAAAAAAAAAATTGTAAAAGCTGAGCATGGTGGCTCATGCCTTTAGTTTCAGCACTCAGGAGGCAGAGGCAGATGGATCTCTGTGAGTTCAAGGCCAGCCTGTTCTACCAAGCCAGTCCAGGACAGCCAGGGCTACAACAGAGAAACACTGTCTTGAAAAAAAATAATAATAATTTTTTTTGTCTTTATAAGTTGATTGTGACAGGTGTTCCATTACAGGAACATAAAATTGACTAACACAACCAAAACACACTTCTTCCTATACAGGGCCTCAGGAAAGATCAGCTCTCAGCAGATTTAAGGTTATCTTCATAAAGATAAGAGAGCCTGCTGGGTTTGACAGCACAATGCAGGAATCCCAGCTCCTCCCAGGTAGAAGCAGGAGGATCAGGGGAGTTCAAGGTCCTCCCCAGGACTTAGAGGTTCAGCGCAAACCTGGCTCTCATGACCCTGTCTCAACCGAGGAAGAGGGGGATCCAACAAGGCTGCTGAAATTCATCAACAAGTATCACATGAAGAAGTCATTAAATACATAACAAATTATAGCCAAAAGGGATGTGGCATTTCTTTGCATAACGCTCTCCATTCAGAAGAATGTCTGTTGTCCTGTGGTCCCTTTGCCAGCTCCAAAGAAAACAGAACCTGACCCGAAGTTACCAGAGTTGATGCTAATGCTGGCTAACTGATATTAAACTGAAATGTCCTCAAAAAGAAAAGAAAGAAGAAAAACAAACAAGATTTTTTTAAAGCTGAAATATCCTGTCACTGGATTGGTACCCAGAGATTTTTAGGCAGACTGCAAACCGGGAAAGAAATCATGTGCTGTCAGCAAAAGATGTCCTTTCCCCCTCCTCCGAAATGGCCTCATCTTGTAGTCCTAGCTGTCCTGGAACTCATTCTGTAGACCAGGCTGACCTCAAACTCACAGATGAACCTGCCTCTGCCTTCCAAATACTGGGATTAAAGGCACCACTGCCTGGCTTTTTTTTTTTTTTCTTTTCTTTTCTTTCTTTCTTTTTTTTTTTTTTTTTAAAGACTAGCAAAATGAAGACTAAGCCTGACAACCTAGGTCCAATGCCCAGGATCTACAGGGTAGAAAGCCTGAACCAATGCTGACCTCCATGTTAGTGCCAGGGCATTCTTATGCCATATACATACGCATCTAGAAACACACAAGTAAATAAATAAATGTAATAAAATAAAATAAAATATTTAGGTATTTGTTTCTTATGCACGTACCTTTTTTTTTTCATTTCTTCTCTTTGTGGTTGGATAGAACACTGTTGGGTTTGTTTGTTTGCTTGCTTTTGTTTTTGTTTTTGTTTTGTGTTTTTTTTTTTTTTGTTTATTGGTTGGTTGGTTGGCTGGGGTTTTTGTTGTTTGTTTTTTTTCAAGATAGGTTTATCTGTGTAGCCCTGTCATGCTGGAACTTGCTCTGTAGATGAGGATAGCCTGGAACTCAGACAGATCCACATGCCTCTGCCTCCCGAGTGCAGAGGATTAAAGGGATTAAAGGCGTACGACACTGTGTCCATTGAACACTGTTGTTTTGTGATATCAAATAAACTTCCTCAGTCCATTGGAAAAAAAATCTATACTAGCTAGAAATTTCTAAAATGTTCGGCACACATTCACTCTGAAAGCATCTCTCTAATCTAGTAACTTTTGTCCAATAAGAAACATAAACAGGGCTACAGAGATGGCTCAGAGGTTAAGAGCACTGACTGCTCTTCCAGAGGACCTGAGTTAGATTCTAAGCAACCACATGGTGGCTCACAAACATCTGTACTGGGATCTGATGCCCTCTTTTGGCATACAGGTGTACATACAGACAGAACACTCCTATATTTAAACAATAATAATATGATAATAATAATAACATAATGTGGCCGGGTGGTGGTGGCACTTGCCTTCAATCCCAGCACTCAGTGGTCAGAGGTAGGTATATCTCTGATCTCTGAGTTCTAGGTCAGCCTGGTCTACAGAGTGAATTCCAGGACAGCCAGGTCTAAACAAAGAAATCCTGTCTCAAAGGAAAAAACAAACAAACAAAAACATAATGTGAGCCAGGCACAGGCACATAGCTGTAATCCCAGGATTCAGGGAACTGTTGAAAGAGAATCATGATTTCCAAATTGGATTTAGATACATAATAAGACCCTGAATCAAACAAACAAAACAAATGGATACAATAGAAAGAAACTTTTCTTTGGCTGAGCATGTAGCTCAGACGTCGGATGCTGGCTAGCACAGGCATGAAGCCTTGGGTTGGAGTCCTTCCAGATCATAACTGAGTATGGCGGCACTCAGCAGGGAGAGGTAGGAGGGTCAGAAGAAGCTCAGGGCCATCCTCAGTAACATAGATAGTTCAAGGCCAGCCTGGGCTATGTGAGACCCTATCAAAAGAAAGAAAGCAACAAACAACCTTTGAGGGAGAAGGTCATTCAAGACATATAGCCTAGGCTGGACTTGAACTCCTGATCATCTTGCTTCTACCTCCCAAGTACTGGGGTTACAGGTGTGTGCCACCATGCCCATTTTGATACAAGGCTGGGAATCAGTCCCAGGGTATCATACATACTGTGCAAGCACTCTACCAACTGAGCTGTAGCCCCGATCCTGGGAAACTTGTTAAGCAATGTAAAACAGCCCAGCATAGTGTCCCATGCTATCATTCGTCTGGGACGCAGCTGTCGGCTTCTGGACAAAGAACAGAGAAACCCTGAGATCAGAGGTTCTGTTTCTCTCACCCTAAGCAAGGTTCCTGGTCTCACAGGTGGTGGGGTGGAAAGGAGTTTCCCACGGGGTATCACAGTTAGCTCTTTTAAATGAGATTGTCATTATCAGGCAGTAGTGCCTGCGATGATACCGAAGTGTTACAGCCCTTTGGCTAAGCCTCTGTGTTAATGGCAGGGGTTCCAGTCAAAGCCCGTGCCTGGTCAGCTTACAGCTGAAACACATGCCTGATGAGGTTCATGACCAGCGGGCCAGAAGGTCAGTCTGGTGAGGCATAGGCTCAACAGGCCAGAAATCGGGCTCATGGAGGTCAGGCAAGGCTCCACCAGGCCTGACCAGCAGTCAAGTCCTGGGAGTTCAGCAGCCTATCTCCAGGGAGGAGGGGAGCCCTCCTTTCCCCAGAATAAATGAGAAACCTCGGGCGGTCATGGTGGAAAGCTGATGGTATCACGAAGCACGTTTATTTCGTGTGAAATCAGGGCTTTATAAACCTTGGGCAGCGGAAAAGGTTCTGAGGGGGAGTGTGTTTGATTTGATGGGGCTAGAAATGCCAGAGATACGTGATTTTTGTGTAGTGGTACAGTAGCACCATCCTAAAACAGGAAGGAAAACACAGTTCTTAATTATCCTAAGGGTAGTGGGGGAAGTCTCCAGGCATAATTAAAGGTGTTTTGCAGAAAGCTTAAATCCCTGTAGCAGAAGCTACAGGAATCCCCAGGTGCTTGCTGGACAGGTTTCTTATCAGGAAAGAGTCAGGCCTGTAATCTTCCCTGAGGGTTATGTGAAGTTTTAGGGTTCAGAGAAAGAGGGCATGCCACTGAGAAAGGGAATCCATTGTAACAGATCAAGTTCAGAGGCTATCTAAAAATGCCAGACTTTGACCTTAACCAGTAGATTCCCACACCACACCTTTCATTCCAGGACTCTTGTGGCGGACACAAGCAGATTTCTGTAAATTTGAGGACAGCCTGGGTCTACACAGTGAGTTCCAGAAATATGTAGAAAGATCCACTCTCAAAAACCAAAAGAAAAAAAATATTATATATGAAATACAAACCAGCCATTTCTGGACTATTTCACACTCTGTCTATTGTTGCTGAATCAGGCCTTCAAACTCTGGATGTTGGGATCAAACAAATGAGACTTACCCTAAGTACTGCCATCTTGTTTTCA